CTTTAGACGGATGGAAATAAGCAAGAAAATAAGGTGTTTCTCAGGGAGTGGGTTGGGGGTGGGGGCTGGCTTTGCAGTGAATGTCCATTGTATTGCGAAAACCATGTATATATATATATGCTACGTAGGGAAGTTTTCTAGAATGTTCTGTTTTCTCCGGCGCTTTAACAGGTTATTGTAGACTCCTTACACGAGGAGTAAACTTTTTTCACTTTAGTGAAAAGTTATGGGAAACGCGGCAATTTAATGAGCTTTGGCGACAGTGAGTCACTGCCTGGGAGCCTGAATCCAGGCCGCCCGGCTTTCCTCCCACCCGGTTTTGTGGGTTCCCACCCTAACCACTGCATTCTGCGTGCAGCAGCTCCATCTCCAGGCCGCTGGGGGAACAGCCCAGGTGACTGCCTCGCGGAAGGAGGCCTGTGTTTCCTCTGGTGATCCCGAGAGTCAGGGAGGGGCGAGAACAGATTTGAACTTTGGAAAAAACAGATTATATTTGAGCTCCTGCTCCACTTGTCAAAGATTTATTGACTGTGGTCTTGAGCCTCCCAGGATTTTCACAGCTCAAGCCCCCCGTGAAGATGCAGAAATGGCAAAGTAATATATCAGGCTGGTGCGGACCACAGAGTGTTGGTGGGTAATACTGACACCAGACAACTCAGTGTTGCACAGAGAGCATTCTTTACGGGAGTAATTCTTGAGGAAGATCCGAAAACTTAGCCTCAAAATGCATAAAGCACAATTTGACAGACTTAAAGGTACAAATGAACTAAGGTTGAGCTGATGCTTGTGTGGAATTCCTGTGGGTGACGTGAAGGTCTTCCTTGAAAACCCAGAATATGTTGCAGACAAGCTTTTGATAGGTCGATTCGCAAGCTGGCTGGATAGAAAAGCATTATTGCACATCAGTACATTTCCTACCCACCAGCAACACCTGATGAGAACGTATTAAAAAATCCTCTTCAGAAGGAAGCTACCGGTTGTTTAAAAACAAATCTGATCTACAGGACCTTAGGGAGAAGTTTACCAAATAATATTGACAGCACGTGTCAGATTTATGAGAAATGCCATGTTTTGTGATGGGAAAGATCATGCTTAGAGAATGATTCTCTCCGACTCAGTCCACTTATCCCAGCCAATTACCAGAAACATTTAAAAAGCTGTTTCCCCAAACTTTTAATAACCCTAAATCTCATATGAAAGGGACAAAAACCAAGAATAGTAGGGGAGGATTTGCCTTAGCAGCTGTGCATGAGTGCCAGCAATTAAAGCAGGTGCAGAAATACGGGCGACGACAGGTGCATATGAGAAACTGTGTAAGAATACAGCAAGGTGGGCAGAAAAAGATCAGTTTCCTGTTGACGTGT